CATCTCCAAGCCAGTCTGAAGACGAAGCTGAGTCCGAGGATCAGACTGAGGCCGAGAAGAAATGAAGAAGCTGATGAATCATTCTTCAATGTTTAGGCCGAAGTGCCTTCTTTCCTTTTCTGAATGCATTCTATATTTAAAATAATTTGCATGTCTTCAAGGTACCTCTTCACTATGTAATCTCTTCAGGGTAAAATACCTCGGACACAACTTGTAGTCTTGTTTATCTCGGCCTTGGCTTAACACTTGAAAATATTGTAACAAATGTTTTCTCAAGTGTTTGCTCAAAACTCGCCACTTTTTTACTTCTTAAGACTTCTGTCTTCCATTATCTTCCAAGTCTTGGCCACATGGTAATCGTGCATAGATACTTCTTTCACTCGTAACCCTGGCTTAATCTTAACTTGTAAATTTTCTCAAAATTTCAACAAGTGTTAAACATCATCTCGATTTAACTTCAACTTGTAAACTTTTCTCAAGTTTCAACAAGTGTTAAACCAGTCTCGGTTTAACTTCAACTTGTAAACTTTTTAAGTTTCAACAAGTGTTAAATATCATCTCGGTTAACTTCAACTTGTAAACTGTTTAAGTTTCAACAAGTGTTAAACATCATCTCGGTTTAACTTCAACTTGTAAACTTTTCTCAAGTTTCAACAAGTGTTAAATATCATCTCGGTTTAACTTCAACTTGTAAACTTTTTAAGTTTCAATCATCTCGGTTTAACTTCAACTTGTAAACTTTTTAAGTTTCAATCATCTCGGTTTAACTTCAACTTGTAAACTTTTTAAGTTTCAACAAGTGTTAAACATTATCTCGGTCTAAATTCAACTTCTAAACTTTTTAAGTTTCAACAAGTGTTAAATATCATCTCGGTTTAACTTCAACTTGTAAACTTTTCTCAAGTTTCAACAAGTGTTAAACATCATCTCGGCTTGTGAAATTCCAACTCCCAAGCATCATTCTCCAGCCCTCTACATGGCTTCCACCTACTCATTTGTGGAAAAAAGTCTTTAACTCAGGCTGTGCTTTTCTCTTCTCGGATTTAATCATCTAAGCCGAGATCTTGTCTTTTGGGATCTGGGATTCCAGATCTAGAATCTGGAATCTGGGATCTGGGATCTGCTCACTTGGGCTAAGCTCTTGTCTTCTCGTGTCCAGTATTATCTCGGCTTTGCTTCGGCGAACCATTTCTCTTCTCTTGTTTGGACGCCTTTGTCCTCGGCGTGTCTTCTTCGGCTCTGGCATACTTTTCTATTCTGGCCATCAACTCCTCCATGTTTTCAGCAATGTCTTTGCCAGTGATTTTCGAAGCAGGCAGTCATCCTTCAAGCCGTTTTTAAACGACATGACCGCCACCTCTTGGTTGCATCCTGGTATTCGGTTGAACACCTCATAGTACCTTTTTGCATAGGCCCTACGGCTTTCATCCTTGCCGATCTTCAGGGCCATTAGGGCGTCTACCCTCAATGGCTGTAGCTTGTTTGTCACGAACCTGGCCACAAACATCTCGGCTAGGCCTTCTCAGGTTTTCACAATTCCTTTCGGCAACTTGTGAAACTAGTCCGATGCAATTTCCCCGAATGATGAGGGGAACACTTTGCAGAGCAACGGCTCGTTCCCAGTGTATAACGCCATCGCGTTCAGGTATAATCCGACGTGAAAATTGGGGTCCGACTTCCCATCATATATCTGGAACCTCGGCATACTGAATCTCTTCGGGACCTCAACTTTGTCAAATTCTTCCGAGAACGGCATTCTCGGTTTGACCAGGGAGGTTACCTCGGCATCTTGTTGCTTCCTTCGTAGGTGATCTCCCAGATCCTTTTTAGTTCGTCCAAGGGTTCGGCTATCTCCGGATTTCAGCCTCTTTGGCGCACTATTTCTAGTGTCATCGTGAGTTCTTTTGGACCTCCCTCCACTGGTCGTGTCGAAACAGAGTTCCTTCCCTTGAACATCTCGATGTTCTTTGGTGCAGGTTTCTTTTGTTCGACGTGCCTTCTGGGATTCTCTATACCCGACCTCCCGCGAAGGCTGGTGAGAATGTCCCTTGGTCCCTCCATGCTGAGGGACTGCAGGAACCGTTTTCTACTCCCCTTTCTGGGAACCTTTCTTGGCCGCTGGAATCGGCGTACCTTGTAGCGGGAATGGTGGCTGCATGACGTTGTTCTGCATCATGAAATTGACGACCGTTTGCAAGTTCGCCAATTTGTCCACCATTCCCTTTATCTTGTCGTCCTTCCGCAGGCATCTATCTTTCCATACCTGGAGGTCGTCCTCGTTATAATACCCGCTCCGATCTGATTTCTTCGGTACGCCGCCCTCCTAGCCGACGTCCTTTCCTTCGTGATTCTTATCACGAGTCTCTTTGTTGCAGTTGTCTTCTTCGACGTCAAGGTTAATCTGTTTCCCACTCTCGGTAGGGGTGTCGTCCCCATTCTTTTCTTTCTGTCTGTTGTTGGCCATCTATTCTCCTTTCTTTCCTACAGATGGCGCCAAATTGTGTGAGTGATTTTCTGACCACACTGCCAACTCAGTATTCAGCTGGAGAGCACTGACAAAATAGATGGCACTTATCTGACCTGCAACAGAAAGAGAAGATTCCGGCGGTGGTTCGTCCACCCGGGGGCACTCCGACGATCAAGTCAGTATATCTCTCAAAGATAATCAATAGTGTTAAACTCACTGTTCAAAGCATAAAAGACATACTTTAGACCCATGAGGGTGCCTCTTTTTTATAGCCAACATAATCCTAGTCACAATAGAAGCCTACCTCCAATGAACTTAGGATTACTGCTAAACTTGGACTTCCAGTATGATTAGGATAAACTCTCTAAGCCTCCGTTTGGGAAGTGGGTTGACTTTTTGGCTTTTTGGCTATTTTAGCCTGGTTTGGGAAGGGCTTTTTGACTTTTTGGCTTTTTTAGCTTTTTTTGTGAGAGAGGATTGTAATGATTATAGGTTGGATTTGATGTTTTGTTTTTTGTGGCTAAAATAGCCTATTTTGTTTTTTGTGGCTATTTTAGCCAAAAAAAGCCTGGCTTTTTTCTTCCTAAACGGAGCCTAAGAGTCTTATCTTTACCCAAACTGAAGTCTTCTCCCATTCTAGGACTCTTGTCCCTTATTCGTTTATCTCGGATTTCGGTATTCTTGCAGATAACCTCTGCCTAGCCGAGATTACCTCGGCGTCATGATCAGGACATGTGGCACCTCGGCTGGCACATTGGTGACACCTCAGCTACGTGTTGTCATTCAAAAATTATGTCCCCACACATAACTATTTTTGAATATGAATATTAAAATATTGTTTGCGCATGTATGATTATTTTTGAATGGGAATATTAATATTGATTAATGATGTGCTAATCACAACACTAATTGCAACACATTACAATGTGATAATCCACAAGAAGTAGTGACTCCATACAATGTGAACATTAACACCATATAACAATCATGTAAAATTATACAATAATCAGTGATATGTGAACATTCACATTATGTAATAATCATACAATTATCTGTTTAAAATATTTAAAACAATATACAAAGGCAATTGTGAGGGTATGAGAGAGAAAGCTAGAGAGAGCAAATAATAAAGTTAGCAAATAATAGAGTACCTCTGCATTTTCTATGACCCAATATTCAAAATAAAGTGTTGTTCTCGTGAACAATCTTTGCTCCCATAGAGAGAGAAATAGGATCGGAGAGAGAGAGAGAGAGTATGTGTGGTCGTCGGAGGAATACTAACCTGGAAGGAGAGAGAATAACAAGAGGAGAGAGAGGAGGACAATAGCTATTGCTGGCTAGTTATTTATAGGTCTCAGAGCTCAGGGAAACTACAAGCTTCTCATACACTGCAACAACAACGAGGTCTTGAAAGCTCTCTATTCCGAAGTAGGTTGGGCCGTCGAAGACGATGACACCACTTTTTATGATTTTTATGAGACTTCATCTTGGAATTTTGAAGTTTTGTTGAATTAATCCTCACTTTTTAAGTTGATTTCTGATGGGAAAACCTCAATCAATGATCACAAAAATTGCCAAATAAATAAATAAATAATAAAAGGTGAAGATTATAATTGTGTGTAATACGACGTATTATAAAAAATATAACAAAGAGTATAATAGTCCAAAAAAATATTATAAATAAGGAAAAAAAAAAACTCCTGAAATACAAGTCTAAATATATGAAAATAGGTGGAACACAAGAAAACTTTATACACTTATTGGATTATAAGTCATCTAAATGGGATTTATAAATAAATCTCTAATGATTTTTTTTTATACTATATTAGTAGGTGACCCGTGCGATGTATGAAAATTTATTTTTAAAATGAAAAATTGATTTTGAGTCTTAGTACTTTACATGTAGAAAATTTTTATAATTAAAAGCCAAATATAAACAGATTTACTAATGGCTAATGAAAATTTTTGTCACTATGTGTGCGATCCTATATAAAAAGCTCATAAAAATAATTTTTGTAAAAGAATTTTTTTTTTTTTTTTTTTTTTACGCCATTTGAAATGGCGTTTCTACTACCAACCAAAGCCAACCCACACAATGACACACACACCAATGGCCACACCCACAACACTCAAGCATTGAAATAATATAATTTTTATATATAATAATAATTTATAATAATTAATTATATAATTTTTATAATTTTCGTAAATATAAATCATTTTTCACTTGAAACAATTGCTTTCATCATGCCACAGTGAGTTATCCGAACGTCCTGCAGTTTCCTTAGATCTCTAGCTATGGAAAGTGAGAACGTAGTTTGTAGTTTATGACACCAGAACACATCTACAGACGTCAGGTTGCCGAGCCATACAAGTTGGGTGGGACCCTTCCACATATTTGTCAATTCAGGCAAGAAATATAGTACCAACTCTTTCAATGCACGGAAAGCCGTGTTCGGTAGTCGGTATTCATGACATTCATGGCTAGTAATCCCTTTGAAATTATATAGATTACGAAGATACAGACACTCACAGGAAAAGCACTCTGGGGAACCCCATCTGTTGTATTGATGAGGTATTCCAATTCAGTCAAGTAGTCTAGTGTCAATTTCATTAAGCATTCAAAACCATCTTCGTCGACCAAATCACAGAGAATTTTCAAACTTACTGCAGTTGCGGTTAAAATAAGAATTTCAGTTCTCTTCAACAGCAAATCAAACCTCGTTTCAATGTCACTCAAGTTTTGACCTTGGAGATCCAACTTATTTGATAACGAATAACGAGGGTCAGGGATGCCACCAAAGTAATCGCCAACAACTATATTGAACTTTTTCACCTTCTCAATACCTCTCGGCCAGAAGTCCATATTTAATAGAACAATATCCAAAGCCGCCAAATTGGACAAGGACGCTAGTTCATTGCTCACTGAAAACTATCCCCGAAAG